AATAAAGAACAAGCAACGACAATCACAAACACAGAAGATTTTATAGTAGCTCTAATAAATCTCACATCCACTCTTTCTCCTCAATAGGAGGAGATGAGGAGGAGCTTCCACACTATATGGGAGTTTTCTAGATTATAAACCCAAATCTCGTAGGTGATACAAGACAACATCCTAATCTAACCCTAGACTAGTCACCTACATCAATCAATATCACACAGCTTTAAATCTGCCTCCTAGCTAGTAACGCTAACCCTTAATTAACTCTGGCTTGAGTGTGCCATACAAAACCAGTCACATTATTGTGAAAAAAAATATTTTGTATCACAAAATCAACATCAATTGAGCACAAAATAAAAAATCTTGCACCCCATTGACAATCAAATTGTTCTCGACAATCAAATTATTCTCCTTGATGATCTAAGCAAATCTCTATAAGAATAGGGGTTGAAAATGATGCTCCAGGGGTAGCACTCCTCAACATTTGTAGATCCAATGGTGAAGAACACGACTAGGGAGTAATCTGAAAAGCTTCTAGATGATTTCGATGAGATTTCAAATTCAAAATTCCAAGACCTAGCTTTCTCTCTCTTCCTCTCTCTCTTTTGTTTCAATTAGGTCGGTAGAAGTATTGTGAAATGAGAGAAGAGAAGTATATCTTGGTTGCATCGAATGGCTTGGATTAAATCTCAAAATATGAATTTTCACTTCAATCTCACCAATGAGCAGGATAACTCATCAATGACCAAAAAGTCTTTGGACTTTTTCCTTTATTGATGACTTATTAGAATCGCTGATTCACTATAAGAGCTCATCGATGAGTCCTAGGGCTCATCAATGACCAAATAGTCTCTGGACTTTTTCTCTCATCAATGAGAAATTAGAATCAATGGGTCTAACTCACTCATTGATGAGCAATAGTATTCACCGATGAGTGGTTGTATCGAAATAATGTAGGACCAACCCTCCTAACACTTTCTCGCTCAATGTAATAATAACTTTTTTGACTTTCCACCATGCCTCTTTCCTTCCTCTTCCTCTTCCTCTCCTCTTCCTCTACTTGTACCCCATTGGTACATTGCGAATATTAGGCATAAATTTCTAAACCAGATGAGAGTAAAACATAGATTATGAAATTTAATTAACTCAGAGTTAGGCTAATTGTTTTAACCTATGCGATTTATTTAATAAAAGTAATGGAGAGAGGGGACTTATTTAAAATATATGATGATTTCGGGGGACATTTTTAAAATAGGTTACATTTAGGAGACTAATATAAGAAATACCCTAACGCCTCATTTGGTACGCGGGAATGAGTGGGAATGGAATACAATTCCAACTCTTTATTCATGCGTACCAAACACGATGTATTTTTAGACGCTAGAATTGTTATTCCCACACAATTCCAACTCTTTATTCATGCGTACCAAACACGATGTATTTTTAGACGCTAGAATTGTTATTCCCACTTCTTATCAATTCCCACTTTATGTGTACCAAACACGATGTATTTTTAGACGCTAGAATTGTTATTCCCACTTCTTATCAATTCCCACTTTATGTATTAATTATCATTACCAACCATTTAACAAGGAATTAATATTCCCACTGGGAATAAAATAATCAAATAATTTTCAATTATACCCTCCTTAAAAGTTACGAATAGATATAAATTCTCATATGAAAAATTATTTCTATAGAAATAATATCATTAGCTACTCGTACAAATATACAAATAAATGTAAAATATTAAAATACTAGTCTTTGTTCGACTTTGCCTTAGTTCCATCGCGTATGCAATAGAAAAAAATCTCATCTTCGACTCGACGCGACTCGGTTAGGTAACCATTATTTCTTTTTAAAATATATATGTGTGGCTAATCTTTATCTAATGTTTACAATATTTTTTTTTATCATTTGGCGAATCGGTTGCATAATCTATTGGCAATTAGGTTAGTAAATATTTTATCTTTGGATGTACGATTTAAAGTTCCCCACAACCCAAATTATACTATGAATGTAAATACAATAAGCTTAATAGGTTGTGTGTGAACAAAGAGATAAATAAATCAAAACTAAACTCAATGTAAATCTAGCTTATGGAAATTAAGTTCAAACATATAAATTGCTAGAAATAGAGCTTATGGAAATTAAGTTCAAACATATAAATTGCTAGAAATAGAGTTTAGAAAAACTTCTCTATAGATCAATAGAAAGAGGGAGAAGAGTTGGATGCTTAAACACAATAGATGATCTCCACTTGCTTTTGTGAAATTCTCTTCACAAACAAAACTCTTAAACACTCTTTTAAACAAACTAAAACAAACTTTAAACCCTTGTTAAACTTGTTTAAAACATTCTTGGTTATCACAATAGAGCTGGGTATAAGGGGGTATTTCTAGGAAACCCCAAAGATCAAGAAACCCAAACAAAAAAAAAAACAAAAAATCAAAACATGACAAAGGCTGAAAAAAACTAGCTGTTATGTCATCAGTCGACTGACGACTTCCATCAGTCGACTGATGAGCTGACCGTTAGAGGCATTTTCCAGCTCATCAGTCGACTGACGACCTTATCAGTCGACTGATGATCTCATCAGTCGACTGGTCAGTCGACCAAAACAAAATAAAAACTATTTGTTGTTCCAGGCGATTTTTTCAATCGACACATCAGTCGACTGATGTCATCAGTCGACTGATGTCATCAGTCGGCTGATGTCATCAGTCGACTGACCAGTCGACTGATAACGGGTTATCAGCCTGTTTTGAAATAGAAATCTGATTTTTAAACATCTTTAAAAAATAGCAAATAAAATTAGAAAAATATAAAACTTTAGAAAATGATTGTAAACATGATAATATACATGTTAGTTACAAAAACTGGTTTTTAAAAAACACCTCCCAAAAGAGAAGTCTCTTCATTTTACAAAGTAGTCTAAAACATATAAATGAAAAACACTTGTTTTTGACATTGGACATAAACCATGTTTTAAAACTTTATAAACTGATTTTATAGACTTAATAAAAGATGAATGTTATGATTGTTAAGTTATATATATATATATATATATATATATACATAGAAACCAAATAAAATGTGTGTGTATATGATATTGAGCTTAAAGTACTTAACACACATAATATAAAACCTAAACTAAATTACCCAAGCTTGTGATATTCAACGAAGCTCTTTCTTGGTACACTTGCGGATGAAGCTTGAACTTGGATCTTCAACTTGAATTACAATGTTTCAACTACTATTCCACCAACCTCCATTGGATATGATCGTGAATGCTCGATTCCATCCATCCCCTAACATATTGTTTGCCCAAGCTTGTGATTTTCAACGAAGCTCTTTCTTGGTACACTTGCGGATGAAGTTTAAACTTGGATCTTCAACTTGAATTGCAATGCTTCAACCACCATTCCACCAACCTCTATTGGATATGATCGTGAAAGCTCGATTCCATCCATCCTCCAACATATTGTTTGCCTAGAATAAATACAAAACACAAACACTAGACAAACAACATTAGTGGTAAATTATTTGTTAAAGATCATCAAAACAAAAGGACCCAACAATCTCCCACTTTTTGATGATGATAAACAATTTAAAAAAAGAGATATATGCATGAGAGGAAATTAATATGTAAATTAGAATTATCATGCATATAACCAAAACAAGATATACTTATAATATTTCTCTCCCTTTGACAACATCAAAAAGGGGAAAATAAAAGAGGAAGAGAGCGAAAGCTCCCCCTACCAATAAGCATAAGTGAGTGTAAAAACAAATATAGGGATTGCTCTCCCTATCAAAATGCCTTATGGAATATATGCAATAATGACCAAGGCAAATTTATGTGAGCAAGCATAGATAGAAAATATGCTAAGTATAACCCATATACCATAAGATAATGAGAAAACATATAGATGTATCATTATAGGATAGTGTCTCATTATACAAACATAAAAACTATGTTTAAAAGTAGATTTATGAAATCAAAAGAAAAAGAACATGAGAATCATTTCCGCATACCAAACGAGGCGTTGGGCTACATTTCGAGGTCAGGGCAAAGTTTAAAGGGAAACATCAAACAAATTAATCTATGCATTAGAATAAAGAAGGATAAAATTAGTCAATCTGTTAGCGCTAAAGTACAAACGATTGAGTTATGAAATTTACCATAAGGAAAATTCTATACCAGCTAAAATCGAATGCATATACGGATAAATTATGAGAATATTTATATGAACATAAACGGATATGATGAAATTAGATAAAATTGCAAATACATAGGTTATATGTTACGAGAGAACCTATTAGTGTACTCTAAGTATAGCCAAAGCTAAAATTAGATCTATTAATCGACATCTGTTCTAGTAATTTGGATACACATCCAAAATTTTCACTATTTGTTCAATACCAATAAGAAATAGATATAGACAATTTAGTTTCCATATTCGCACCCTAACGTATGCATTTCCAGATATTTTTATCCTAATGTGCACACCGTGGTCCCTGTTTTTTAAGCATGAACTTGCCTTCCTCTAATTTTTAACACATTTGATTTAATTATTGTACGCTTAAAACTAGAAATCATACTTACTCCTATATACTTAAAGAATAATCTAAGTTTTAATACATTTAATTTATAAATCATATCTACTCCTCTGTACTTTAGGAAGTATCCACTTTTTAATACATCATGTGAGATTAAAGTGTAGATATGTGCATATGTGTAATTTAGTAAGAAACACTATCGCTTCTATACCGTCGTGGGCTGGGCCGAGGCCCATAGAGATGGCAACAAAATCAGCAAGCACGGGCGAGGCTTTCCGGCCAGGGAAAAAAAAAGAAAAGAAAATGCAGTCCCTGTACCTTCTTAGTCGGAGCTCCTCCGACTACAGGGGAGGAGGTGGACTTCTTCCTACCCCTTCAAGAAATCTATCCTCCTCGTGGGCCCACACCTTCGGTCGAGGGCGGTGGT